CCACATGTTGCTATGGGAACGAGGTGGCCCTCGGATCCCAGAACCACAGGCCTGAGGGAGCCTGTGAGTAAAGCTCCCTCAGCATGGAAGGCTGCTCAGGCAGCCATATGCAGACCGTGCCCCTGCAGCCAGCCTGGGAGACCCTCTTGCAGCAAGCTCATAGCTGCTTACAGTTCCTGACACATGGCAGAGTACGGAATGATCTGCAAGGCCCTCCTCCACGTGCTCCCATGACACCCTGCTTTCTAGAGAAACCCCGCCCTTCAATCAGCCCTGCCCCCACCCACATCAGGGCCCATCTCAGCTGCCCCGTACCTCTGTCCACCATTTCAACACGACTTAGAGATACAAATGTCACCTGAAGGACAGGCTCTTCAAAGGGTCACTGCCAGGCAGAGAGGCTGCAGTCCCTGTACGGAAGTGCTCTACCTCAGTTTCTCCCCTAGACCTCGCATATGTGGTGCACAAAGCCAGCCTATCAGAGTGTGGCGTGGGTACCTGAGGTGTGGGCCAGGGTGGAGTAGAGTCCACTCTGGCCCAGTCTCACTCTTTGTCACAATCTTCTGGGAGACACAGCAGTCCAATGTCAAGAGCCAGCCTGAGCAGATGCAACACCCTCCCTGCCCCTCCGAGTAGTTTCTTATGTCGAGTTGGTTGAGAACTGTATACAGCTAGCCACAGCCTGGGCCAGCGCAGGGCTCTCCTCTTGCCTGACTCAAGCCTTCTTGCCCAGGAACTCCAGCTGGGCTGCGACAGCAGTTGTCCCTTTTCTTAGCAGTTGGAGCACTTGTGGAGTCTCTCTCGGTCTGAGGCACGTGTCTAAAGGGGTCGGTCCTACTACACGGGGTCCTGGTCTCCTTCAGCACACCCGGATGCACACCTAGCTGGATGGGATGTGCTGTGTTGTCTGCTGACTCTCTGTGGGCAGTGAGCACTGGGTCCAATGGGAGGGGGAGGAGGGGGAGGAGGGGGAGGAGGAGGAGCACTTCCGGGAGGACAGAGAAGACTTCGGGAAACCAGAAGCATGCTCCAACAGGCTACTAAGAGCTGAACCTCCACAGAGTGGGAGGCTGCCATTGCCAGGAGCTACCTAGATCTGAGGGAAGATGGATGGGGGTTACCACAGGACACATGCTGAGCAGATGGTCACAGGAGGGCCTGGCCAGACACAGACTTCTGGGCCTGGGAGCCTCTTCCTGACCTGCTGGTCTCTGCCCCGTTATTCTAAGCCAGCTGGAGGTCAAGGCCGAATCCACCCAGAGCTGCAAAGCTGTCGCCAGGCTCCAGGCTGTACAGACTACGGAAGGCCTCCAAACAAGCAACATCTCCAGCACGTTTGCATACCCACTAGGACACCTTGTCCCTGAATGGTCTTCCACTCTCAGGAGGCCCTGCAGGGGCTCCCCACACCCCCTGCTCTGCATGCCTTCTCTCAAGACCTCCCCAGCAAGGCAACAGAGTGCTCGTGTTCTTCTTTATGTACACATCTGTGTATTTTGTGACCAATAAACAAATAAAACAAACACAAATTAGAAGCCAGGTTCTCTATGCAACCTGACAACAGCAACACCAGCAGAGTCTGTGGACTAAGCACTCAGCTGAAGGGAACCAAGAGCTGTTCTAAAAGGAAGGTCACAGTAAGAATTACATGCCCAAGATCCCCCAGATACTGGGGGAAGACTCTGGCCCCATGCCCACAGTAAGCAGGAGAAGGCAGGACCTTTGAGAACCTCTAGGCTTAGTTAGATGGGATCATAGAGCAGGAGCCTGTGATTAGTGTCCTCAGAGGAAGGGAGAGGGAAGCAGACCTCACTAACTCTCTTTCCAGGTATGTTTTCCAAGAGAGACCACGCAAAGGTAGAAGGACGAGCCGCTCCTCCACCAGCCAGACTGTGCACCCTGGCCTGGAAAGCCACCCTCCTGAGTCGTAAGAAACAATTATCATGTTAGCCATACAGTAGACAGGGCTCTGCCCCAGCGATGCAGGCTAGGCCGCTGGAGTCACCTGGCAGCTGAGCAGGGGCGGGCTGAGCAAAGCCTGCCTCTCCTCCCTGCCATCATGACAGCATGGGACTGGCTCCCCTGGGCCAACAGAAGGGCGCTTTCCTGGACGTTCATCCCCAGCCTTGTCAGCTCCACACTCCTGCCTGGGCCACATCGGCTCCCTTAGAGCTGTCCCCAGGTGTGCCACCCAGCCAGCCCTGAGTCACCCTCCTCTCCGTCCTGACAGGCGACAGGCATATCCTTTTTCCAGAGGATATAAAAAACCAATGGGGACAGCAAGGTCTGCCGCCTCCTCCCCACCCGGGAGATGCAGCCTGCTTGCTCCTTCAGCGCCCTCGGAGAATGAGTTTATGGATTCTATCCTGAAGTCCTGTTCATCATGTATTTTGTGATTTAAGATGTTTTCCAATTGACAACACTATGTTGAAGCTTTATTTTCCCAATCAATAACTGACTCTGGAAGGCAGCTAGGGAAGTTACTCATCAGTCAAATGAGACAGATGACCATGTCAGGCTGCCCTCCAGCTAGGCCCACCAACACCCTGTCCAGACCCCATCAGGTGCCTGCAGAGACCTGGAGGAAACACCCTTAAGAGAGACCCTGCACCCTATTTTACAGCATTGGGACAGGAAGTGATGCTTCAGGAAGAACTGTTGCTTTGAAATCTGATGTCCAAGGTTCCGTGTCGCTTGCTTTGGTCATAGTGGTGATGGTGCAGAGAGTGGGCCTGGAGAGCCCTGACCAGCCTCCATCCTCCTGACCTGAGAAGCCTTCATTATAATGCATCATTGTGGAGTTCCATCTAGGCATTTTAGCAGACTAGACAGGGGCTCACTGCATTAGAAAGACTTCGAGTAGTAAATAGTTTAGTTTTGTTATTTGTATAGAGAAAGTTACGTTTTTGTTTTTTTTTTAAATTTAGGAGTAATACATATATAAAGTATAAATGGTAAGAAATATTAGAACTCTCTGGCAATGGGACAAGGGCCTATCCTGGGTACATGAACTGGCTTTTTAGAGCCCATTCCCTATGGTGGGATACCTCACTCTGCCGTGATGCAGGGGGAAGGGCTTAGTCCTATCCCAACTTGGTTTGCTAGCCAGTGTTAACTACCCAAGGGAGGCCTTACCCTCTATGAGGAATGAATGGGGGGATGGGATGGGGGGAGAGGTGGGGGAACAGGAGAAGGGGAGGGAGGGAGAACAGTGGTTGGTATGTAAAATGAAAAAACATTAGAACTCAGGCCCGCAGAGATGGATCAGTGGTTGAGATCAGTGGTTGAGATCAGTGGTTGAGATCAGTGGTTGAGGTCAGTGGTTGAGGTCAGTGGTTGAGGTCAGTGGTTGAGATCAGTGGTTGAGGTCAGTGGTTGAGGTCAGTGGTTGAGATCAGTGGTTGAGATGAGTGGTTGAGATCAGTGGTTGAGGTCAGTGGTTGAGGTCAGTGGTTAAGCACGTCCTGCTCTTGCAGAGGAACCAGGAGCAGTTCTCAGCACCCACATCAGGCACAGCTCACAACTGCTTGTAAATCCAGTTAAAGGGGACCTGAAGCCGAAGGTACCCACATGCATACTCATACACTTAATTAAAAATAAGATAAATTTTAAAAAGAACAATTGGAACTTATTGGTCAAATTTAAAAACTATTCATTTGAAAGCAAAACATTAAATGCAAATTCAAATTCGTTTCTGAAATGACACAAAAAGTAAAGTGGCCTCTGACTCCTACCCACTTCTCTATATATTCTGGTTTTAAGGGTAGTCCTGCTATTACAAGTCTGGCTTCCTGGTGCTATGTCCCCAGCCTAGCCTCGAGCTCAGAGCTGCCCTCCTGTCCTGCCCTCCTGCATTTCACACCTGCTTACGACCCAGAGTTCAGACATCTGTAAAAGTATCAGTTGATTTACTATTGTGAAATCTTCAAGTAAGTTTTGAAGAAGTAGGAGAAAACATTTGGAGTTCTATTTTACAAGCTGTTCTCTGTAGGAAACACATGTGGGTGTGGATCATTATTATCCTAAATAAATAAAAAGGCAAAATGGATCTAAATTACAACACTATTTCCACTTTTAAAACTGTTCTTGAAGCACTAGACATACCAGGATATCTTCTGGGAGAAAGGTTACCACGAAAACAACTGGCACATCTGGCCAGCTCTACAGTGTGTGGGTCAGGTGCAAAGTGACAATGTAGGGCCCTGTGTTTGAGAAGCGGAGGAATTCCCTCTCCCCAGCATGTCTCTGGTTCTGTGTTCAGTTTGCCGTCTCATGTGTTTCTCCTTCTCACGTGGGGACACCCTGTGGTTAGTGCAGCCCTTGCATTCCCTAGAATGCTATCCTAGAACTTGCTCTCAGACTCACATGAGACCCATCTTGAGAAGAGAGGGCAGAAGGCCAGCATGTAAGATCCGCTGGTGTGGGCTCCAGTGCCGACAGGCTCCCTTCTATTCTATAACCCAACGTGAAAACACCACACGCTTCCAGAAGGAGCCTAGAGCACTCGAGCTGCACCCCAAGCACAGAGGCCCCATGACTGCCCCGGGGGCACACCCATGAACCCATCCTGGGAAGAAGCAAAAGAGACCATGACTGTACACCTGCAGCCCTCACTTTCAGGCTTCTGAGTGTCCATCTGACTGTCCCTGTGTCTAGTGTGGACGGTGCCAGTGCACAGAGCCCACAGCACAGCCAACTACCAGATGCTGCACCTCTGGGCACTGTTATCCCAGGAGAGAAGGGCGCCTGACTCCTCAGGGTCTCTTATGCTATTCCCAGGCTGGTGAAGAATCCGAGCGGCAGCTGTTGGCTTTCTCTTGCCAGTGAACAGAGCCCTGACGATGGCATCCCCTCCGGATAAGGGTGGGGACTTCCTTTATACTGACCTGCGGTAACAACAGGCCATCACCAGGCAGGGCAGCCAGCTCCACTGAACCGGGATGTGGTGGTTACCTGGTTATCTCGAAATACCACTACACTACTCAGGAGGGAGTCCTTACCTCATTTGCTGTGTTGTGGGTTCCGACGATTCGGATGAAGGAGGCAGGCTGTCTTTCAAAAGTGACTGATTGCCAGGACCTGAGAGGAAAGACAACAATTCTCCAGGTTAGCTGGTACGGTTGGCCTGGCTGACAGCTTGGCAATGGTCATGTCAGCTCCTGTGCCAGGAGCTCCAGTCTTCAGGGAGATGGGGATGGGGGGAGGGCAGGGCTTCCCTCATGATGTCATTGAAGGAAGCAGGAAATGCACTGTCCCATCTCACCAAGGCAGGCACCACTACTGTATGGACTGTGACTAAGGTTCTTAGAAAGCCATCAAGAAACAAAGCAAGACTGTGGACCATGCTTGCCTGTCGACAAGAGTACGGCCGAATACAAACGTAATCGAGGTGGCGGAGTCTATAAAGCAGGTGTCCTCACTTACAGCGTGGCCTGGGCAGGCCTGCCTCACTGGGCTGCTGACAGAATTAGCAGGGAATTCAACACATAAGCCAAACCTGAGTCAGGGGTGGGGACTGTACCGGAAGCTGCTCGGGGGAGAATTTTGAAACAGGGTAGGGGTGGGTGGCTGGAACAGGGAGGCAGGTTCTACACTTGAGCTTGGAGCGGCAGGAGTCATTCGGATGCCATAGCTGCCCCTAGGCAAGCCAGTACATTGTAGGCCTCTGACCTTTCCTGCTTCCAAACGGCCCCACAGGACTGGCTCAGGCCTAGTGGCCTCCAAATCAATCTCAGTATTTTACTTTTTCTCTCCCTCCCTCCTTCCCTTCCTCCCACCATGTATGTATAGTGTGCGCGCATCCACGAGTGTACATGGAGAGGCCAGGGGTCAGGGCCAGGGGTCTCCCTCTACGGCTTTCCACCTTTTTGTTGCGACAAGACCTCTCACTGAACCCAGGGACAAGATCTCTCACTGGACCCAGAGACAAGATCTCTCACTGAACCCAGAGACAAGATCTCTCACTGAACCCAGAGACAAGATCTCTCACTGAACCCAGGGACAAGATCTCTCACTGGACCCAGAGACAAGACCTCTCACTGAACCCAGGGACAAGATCTCTCACTGGACCCAGAGACAAGATCTCTCACTGAACCCAGAGACAAGACCTCTCACTGAACCCAGGGACAAGATCTCTCACTGGACCCAGAGACAAGATCTCTCACTGAACCCAGAGACAAGACCTCTCACTGAACCCGGAGACAAGACCTCTCACTGAACCCAGAGACAAGATCTCTCACTGGACCCAGAGACAAGACCTCTCACTGAACCCGGAGACAAGACCTCTCACTGACCTTGAGCTTGCCTTTTTTCAGCTAGACTGGCTAGCTGGCAAGCTCTGGAAATCCACGTGCCTCCCTGCACCTCCCACAACAGCGCTGGAGTTGGAAGCATGACTGCCATGTCTGGCCTTTAAGTGGGTGCTGGGATCCAAACTCAGCTCCAGCTTACAGAGCAAGCACACTTCCCACTGAGACATTGTCTGAGCTGCAGCCCTGACATTTTGAAGACAATTCCTCCTCCTCTGTCTGGCCTGAGCTAGCTCACCTAGAGGCCAACATGCATGCAAGAGGAGCCCTGCTCTTGGCCTGGCCCTCCTCAGCTCACGAGCATGCACATCTTCTATAATGCATGTGAGCAGCTCACAGTGGCTGCCATTCCTGCTCCCGCACTGTAGAAATGCCAGCTGCCGGGAAGCTGTTTCCTGTAATTGTCTAATTACCAAGTAATGCTAGCAAAGGAAATATATGTATCTGCAGTTTGTTTTTCCCATTTGGTTTCAGGTGTTCCATCTTCCTTCTGCCTCTGCACCTCCCACCGAGACTGACTCACCACTGCCTGGACCCAGTCCTCTTAAGGTCATTAAAAAGTCATTACCATCCTGTGCACAAAGGCTTGCCTCTGGAAGCAGGTTTTTGAAAACAGAGTAAGAAAAATCACTCTCTGTAAAAACACTGTTACTCACGCCTAATGACAACTCCCCTGCCCTTCCCCCATGTATGCCTCTCTGCCCTGCGTCCCAGTGGGGGACTTCTGCTTTCCTAGATCCTTAGCTCTTGGGGTACCTACCAGATTGGTGACAGTCTGTGGGCAGGGGAGGTCTGCAAGGCTGTGAGGGGTTCCACAAGCTGGCTGGAGAAGCAGGGTTGTGCAAGGTATCAGAACCCCGTCTTCATCCCTAAAGGAGGTTTGGGTACATGCTCCAGCTAGCCAGGAATGGGGACCCACAAGAGTCCCCATTGGGTTTGCAACAGAGGGCAGGATGGGAGGGAGGGAGGGAGGGAGGGAGGGAGGGAGAGCAGGGGACTTTAGCCTGCACATGTCACTGTTCCAGAGACTGTGGATTTAAGGTAAGACTACATGTGAGACCTCTCAGGCCTCCCGGAGCACAAGGCTCCAAGCTTGTGAGCAGGCCAGCATCGGGCCTGAGGCTTGCCTCTGCCACAGTTCGTAAGTGGGTCTGCCCAGGAAGTGTTCTTGGCACACAGGTCTTGTTCCTTGCAGGTTCCCGTGGCCTCTCTCTTCTACTTTTGCCTGGCCTGGGGCTCAGGGCAGAGCAGCAGCTGAGCAGGAGGGAGCCTGAGTTTGTGGAGTAATAAGATCAGAAGGTCTCAATTTAATACCAATCCTCCATTACATTGCATTAGTATCTAATCACATTAGAGTTCATTTTCACTAACACAGCCTGAGAGTTGAATATATGATCTCATTTCCAGCAGAACTAGATACCAATCCAAAGAGCAAAGTGGAAGGAAGCTGCCTGGACTCAGGGATGAGCACCCCTCCTCCATCCCTCCCCATTTTCCAGAGTGTGTTCCCTAGACTTTGTCAAAACATCTTCAAATGATGCCCTTCCATGAGGAAATGGAGGGCTTTGGAATGTCATCCGAGCCCTGTTTATAACTGCTGTGTGACCTCAGAGAATGCTTGGAATAAACTCTCACAGAACCAAGAAAACCAGCACCATGATGCCGTATCATCCAAGGCTGTGGCCATTCTTGTGAGCTTTCGAAATGGCTGCTTAATGGTCACCTTGCCAAGCACTGTCTCTTCCTGAGTACTGAACAGCACATCTCAGGAAGGCTCAAGGGTGGCTCTGGGGTGGCAGCCCACCTAACCAGGGCCAGGCTGATGGGCAGCAATTCCTTCTAAGATTAAACCTTCACCTTGGAGGAAAGCTCTAAGTTCTATGGGAGGTGAGACAGTCCATCCTCAGGGAAGCTCAGGAAGTGAACAATCAAAGGCTTCAGGAAGTCCCTAAAACTGACCAGATTCAAAAGGCCCCTTCCTCTCCAAGTATATAAAATCAGTAAGGACTGCTCAGAGACATTCTCAGACTAGAAGACTCAGTTGCCTGGAAGAGGCTCAGACCAGCTCACTGTCTGGAAAGGGCACTCTCCAGCCTGTTGATGTGCTGGGGGCTGTGCATTATGCTCCAGGTTCCCTTTTGTGAGCTGTCACTCACTCTGGGGTGGGCTTTAGTGATGCAGCTGTCTCTGAGTCATTTCTGCTCCTGTAAGTAAACCCAATAAAACTCACTGGTTCACCAGGTTGGACTTTGGTGGTGTCTTAACTTTGGTCTGTCACTGGTTCCCCATCTAGGGTGAGGAGATGTTTGCTCATGTCTCCCTAGGAATAGTACATTATATAGGCTTGGATGAAGGATCTGAACAGGAGCAAAAGGCCAAAAAACAGATGTGGTCTTCATTTTGAGATTTACTACACACCACAAACCCCACCTACACCTGCAGCTCCAACATGTACTCTGGCTCCATAAAGACACGTCACACTTTTCCCAGCTGCCTGTGGAATCCTCCTTGAGGACACAGCCAGAATGAGGCATCAGTGATGTCCACTGGGGGTTGCATGGACTTCCTATGTGTTCAGGGAAAGTATGGGATGACTGCCATGCTGTTGATCAAGATTCTCTACTGGGGCAGTGAGATGGGTCAGTGGTAACAGTGCTTGATGCTAAGCCCACAGCTCACAAAGGGGAGAAACAACTCCTACAAGTTATCCTCTGACCTCTACATGCACACCGTGCATATGGACTGATGTGAGCAACACACGATGTATAGTTGGTAGTGTGCACACACACCCATTAAAACCAGGCATCTGCCTCGCCAGCTGTGAGGCACTAACAAGAGGTCACGAGAGCACTCCACTGTGTCATCACAGGTGGGTCCCCAGCACAGGGCTTGCTGGGGACAGTCGGTTCCATCCTAGTCTCCTGAGGGACAGACAGGAGAGACTCAATTAGGGCCTTGGAGCTAAGGCACCTAGGTGTGGATCTCAGTTTGAACCTTTTTGGTTTTGGCATTCATTTATTTACTTATGTATCTATTTATCATCGATTGACTGATTGAGGCAAGGTCTCTTTGTAGTCCTAGCTATATGAGCTGTCCTGGAACTTGTTATGTAGACCAGGCTCGCCTCAAACTTACAGAGATCCACCTGCCTCTGCCTCTCACAGTGCTGGGATTAAAGAAGTGTGCCACCACACCCAGACCTCAGTTTGAACTTTTAATAGTGCCAAGTCCTTAGGTAAGTTGCTCAGCCTGTCTGGGCCCTCAGTCTTCTCATCTATAGAATGGGAATAATGACAGTTGTCTACAACCTGTCTGTGAGGACCTAAGCACAGCATAAGCATAGCACCCAGGACAGTGTCAGCCTTTACTAAGTGCTAAAGAAGGATGAACATGGGCCAGACAGACGCTTCCCTGTGCCTGTCTATGAGCCATCAAGTCGGGGCACCAGGGTACCCAAGGCTACTGCTACAGCAGACCAGCGGCCAGGTTTGGAGGAACTAACAGTATTTATGAATGCATTCTTGAGCCTGCACCTGCTGGGTGTCCAGGGATCCACGCACAGACAGGCAGCCCTTATGACATTTATAACCTCACTGGAGAGATTAACCATCCTTCCATACACTGATTAGAGAACAGTACAGACAGCACAGTGGTCCCAACACACAAGCTGGTGTTCCAAAAGTCCCTCATAACTTGTGTGAGCCTTGCAAGTGATTTTTCAATGAAACAGAGCTATAAATTTTGATGAGGTTCCCAAGCTCATCCACAAAA